ACCTAAACACAGGCACGATTGAGGAGAATGAGTACCGACACGCCACATGCCTTGAAAGTTAAGCAAACAATAGGAAGATGACCATGAGGAACTTTCTGCTGATCATTTTATTCATTCATTCATTCTTACAGTGCCAGGGATCAACCTCGGGTTCCCACCACTCATGTTGGGAGGCTTACCACCATCTGTGATCCCAACCCCAGTGGGAATCTGATGTCTCTGGACACGTGCTCATACCCCTCCCCCACGAACATCCTTAATTATGAATCTTTTTAAAAGAGAGAACTATTTACTAAGCCTATTTTAAATTAAAAGCAGTCATGGAAAGGATAAATTCGGTGCAGTGGGAAAGAAGTGGGAATGTCTAACTGGTTACCCGAGCACTTTTTCTGGGTGAGGAGTATGTAACAGGAAATGAGGTCGGGGTGGGGACATAGCTCACAACCTGGCACATACTCGGATCACAAAGGCACATGTGGAACCCTTTTACACACAGTTCGAAAACTGCTGGTGCTTCTTAGACCCTGAGCTCCAAAAAGGTGACCACGTTTAGTCTCTTCTGCTTATAAACCAGTAGGGTGTGTTTGCTTATTTGTTTGTTTTGGATGGAGGAGTCTAACTCTGTTGTTGCCAAGGCTGCCTTTGAACTCCTGGACTGAGGTGATCCTCCTGCCTCAGCATCCTGTGTGGCTAGGACTACCAAAGAGTTATCACTGAGCCTAATGAGGAGGAATGAAACTATGTTCATGTTTCTGGGCTTCATCTGTGGTTCCAGCTGCTCTGGAGACTGCAGCAGCGCGGTTGCTTGAGCTTCGGAGTTCAGGGTCAGCCTGGGCGACACATAAGACCCAGTCTCTTTAAAGAGTAGTTAAGTAAATGAGTAAATGTTTTTACTCCCCCCACACATAAAAAGTCAAAGTCACCCAGAAGCAGCAGTGACGGAACAACACAGATGTTGCAGGGTGGCTTTGAGCAGAGGGTAAAGGTAAAGAGCTGTGTGCTCTGGGTGAGCTTCCTTTCTTGGGGACAGCCCTTCTTTGTTGTCAGCTCCTGCTGTAGAGTAGGAACTTCCCTTCAGTCACTAATGACTCTCGACACTCTTTTCCAGATCCTACTCACACTGACAGATGAACCAGAGACTCGGGAAGAAGAACCTGCTGCGCACTCCTAGGAGCTTGACGGAGGCTCAGCCTCCACGGTGCTGCGAGGGGTCTATAGTATTTTTTTGCTGCCTCAGAGTCCCCAAGGCCTTCAAGCAGAAGTGACAGTAGATGATCGCCATCAGCCAAACCAGACTTTGACTAGTACAACAGGGAAACAGATCCTCTGGGTTTGGATGGAACTTGGCAGTGGGGACTCTCGCCTGATTGCGTCGTGTCCCCGTCAGAGTGTGCCTTTCCCTGCCCTTCCTCTCCCCCACCCTGCTAGGCCCCCCCTGTCCCTCCTCCTGCTGCTCTCAGATGATATAAAAGAGGCTCTTTGGCTATTTGCATCTGGCTTTCGCTTCTTTTCCAGATTGAAATATTAAGTTTGTTTTATTTTGTACAAGCTTCAGATCCCAACATTATCCACCAAACTTGAACTTCCCTTTTCTGAGAGTGTGGGGGAGGGGAGCCAACAGCACTGGTTCCCCAGAGTGGCAACTGCCGTGATACAGGCGCCTTTTGGAATTACTGACTTCTAAGATTAATAAAGTAATTCAATTTTTCTTTCCTTTTTTTTTTTTTTTCCATTCACTAATTTCCCAACAACCAATATTCACAATCAGGGCTAAAATGGAACCAACTTTTCATTTTGTTTCCTCTTTCTTTGTTGGACAGTTTTTATTTTAGAATGGGAGCTATCAAGAAACTTTGAGCGGATGGTGGGGCCAGGCTAGTTCCCAGAGCAGCCCGCTCCCACACAGGAATAGTGTGCGCTCCCCACTCCCTGCTTGTCGTCCAGCAGACTTAATCATTGTGGTCCTGCAGGAGGATGTGAATGTGCCCAGTTGCACCCCGCCTCCCCCATAGTTCCTCTGGGTGACTGCAGCACACAGTAGGTCTTCCCTCTGGTGTCTGCTGAGAGTCGGGCTTTCAAGACAGCCCCAGTGTTGAAATCCAAACAGAAAAAAATGACGCCCAAGAAGACAGACAGGGGTTCTGTGTGGTGGTTCATGCCTGACATCCCAGCATTGAGGGAGGCAGGCTGAGACACCAGGCTGGGCTGTTCTACATAGTGAGTGCGCTAGCAGCCTGGAGGACAGAGTCCCTGAGACCTGTCTCAACAAACTGAAGAAGAGAAGAGGGAGGAAGATGAAGATAGAAAGGGGAGACTTTGTTGTTTCATCGGTGCTTGGATCGGATTCAGGCACAGCCGAGGATGAGGACTCTCAAGAGCAGTGAGCAAGAGGTTTTCCATGTAGTCCTGGGACCATCAGAATGACCACTTGATTTGAGTTGGTTAAGGAGACAAATTCTGATTCCTCCATAGTGCCCCTTCTATATGGAGAGCTGGACAAAAGGTTCCAGGAGTTCTCCACATGCAAATCTTGGAAAAGGGGAGTAAGAGGGCATGGGTGTAGGGGGAGAACTTTGAGAACAGCTCTAGCGATTGGTCTAGCCCTAAGCAACCAATTGTACTGAGTCCTCAAGCTCCATTCTCTCTGCCCACTCGGGGCTAAGGCCAAGCTCCAGTCTTGCCTTGCCTAGCGCTTCCAAGTTGTTCTTTCTGGTACTGGGCTATAAACCAGGTGGGATTGCTCTAGCTCCCTCCTCAAAACAAGCGTGCACTTTTGGAGACAATGGCCCAGGCGGCCCTACCACGTGTGAGCACCTAGGGAAAGGGAAAGCCGGACTCCAGGCCTTCACATGTCAAGGAGACACCTGCTACTTGACGGGTAGTGTCTAATGTGAAAACAATCATGATGTGTTCATTGAGATCGCTTCAAAAAAAAAAAAAAAAACACATCTAGATGCCCTGGTTCAAACTTGTAGCAGGAGGACCCTGGGAGGCAGGATAAAAGGGACAGAAGATTGTATTCCCCACATTCGTTTTGGTGCTAGAAAGGACCTGTGATGCAGAACACGGCTTCCCCAGAAATAATTTATGTAGGCAGCGTGGACTCTACCCCAGTGGAAAACACACATTTTAGGCTGCAGCCTAAAATCATATGCTATTTTTGTTTGTTCTTTTAACTTTGTGTGTGGGTGTTTTGACTGCATGCACCTCTGAGTGCCATGTTTGCCTGGTGCCCATGGAAGCCAGAGGAGGACTTCAGATCTTCTGGAACATGAGTTACACACAGTGGGCGCTGGGAATCAGACAGTGATCTTCCAGAAGAGTGACCAGTTCTCTCTCTGAGCCATTTCCTAAGCCCCAAATTTGTACTGGACACAGGAGGTTATCCTCTCACCTGCTTAAGTTTAAGGATAACTGTCACAGTTAATGGACTGTAGTACTGGCCAGGCATGGTGGCACACACCTTTAATTGCAGCACTGGAGAGGCAGGCGAATCTTCGTGTGTTGGAGGCCAGCCTGGTCTACAAAGAAAGTTCTAGGACAGCCAGGGCTATACAGAGAAACCCTGTCTCAGAAGAAGAGGAGGAGGAAGAGGAGGAAAGAAAAAAGGAAGGAAGGAGGGAGGGAGGAAGGAAGGGAGGAAGAAAGGAAGGAAGGAAGGAGGGAAGGAAGGAAGGAAGGAAGGAAGGAAGGAAGGAAGGAAGGAAGGAAAGGAAGGAAGGAAGGAAAGATAGATCATGGTATGTGGTGGCTCTCCCCTTTAATTCCAGCACTGAGGAGGCAGAGGCATTCAAAGACCCACTTGGTCTGCATAGTGGGTTCCAGGACAGCCAGAGCTACAGAGTAAGAACCTGTCTCAAAAGTAAAATAAAATAGACAGGTAGATACAGCGGCTACCCCATGGATGGCATGCTGGCATATTGCTCCCTCCATAGCACGCACATGTGAACCCAAACACACAACCAGAGCACTTCCACAGCCAGGATTTCAGTCCACACACACACACATACACACGGTGTGTGCATATGTCCCTCAACCCGCAGACTTCAGCTTCAGTCAGACGTCTGCCTGTGCCTCCGTGGACACGCTGGAGGCTGGCGGCTTTCAGGAGCTTAAGAGCACGGGCTGCCTTGCTCTGCTGGCTCCCTGCAGAGACGACTGCAGACGAATGCCAAGCCATCGTGGAATTCTGCATTGCCCTGGATCCTTTGCCTCTAAAGAGGCCCACCATCTGGCTCCGATAACAGAATTTGCCTCGTTAGGGGCCATTTGCTGCAGGTGGCTGTTTTAATGCTCGATGTGATTTGGAGGCAGAGGTGAGATTTCCAAAACTGGCAGCTTTTGTATCATTTAGATTGAATCTCCAGTGGCACATTTCTGTATGCAAGCAGGCACACCTTACGGTTGTGCAGGAATTTCATAACTTTTCCGTGTGTGTGTGTGTGTACATACGTCCCCCCACCCCCAGAACACACACATGGAGGCTAGACATCAGCTTCAGGTGCCTTCTTCACCTTATTTCAATGTGAGACAGGATCTCACATTGGCCCTGGAGCTTGTGATTTCAGCTGGACTAGCTGGCCAGGGAGCCTCCAGGATTTACCTGTCTCCGTCTCCTGCCCCTCCCCAGGACGGAGGTTACAGATGGCCACCACCGTGCCTGACCTTTATACGGGTGCCAGGGAACCAAACTCGGGTCCTGTTTGCACAGCAGCCGCCAAACCCGCTGAGTCACCTCTCCCCAGTCACGAGATTGGTGTGCAGTTTTGCACATCTCGGGCGCTGCCTCTGTGTCTGAGAAAAATGCTCCTTGCAGGAGGGTCGTGTGCCCAGACATTGGTGCCGTTTCCTCAGGTTCTAGAGACAGCGCAGCGAGCCCTGTGTCCTCTCGCTAAACAATGGTTGAAAGACACTGTGCCGGGATCCCAGTTATCTCTGGTAAGTAGATGCCAGTGAGCAACTAAGAGACTACTTATGGAGTCCGACACACACACACCTTAGAACGAGGTTTTTACTGTTCTAGAAGCAACCTTCCAGAAGATGAAATCATCCGTGATTCCCCAAAAATATTTATTCATACAAAGATTTTGAGAGTAATACTCGTATCTGTCTTTATACTTTAGTCTGTGCGTCCGGGGCCCGAGTCACCATGTCAGGTGTGTGCAGCTTCCCCAGACAGTCTGCCCGCAGCACCTGCTTCCAGGAACACCAGGAGAGCGTGGGGTCTAGGAGGGTAGGAGGGAGACAATCCCTGATGCCCCACACTACGTGGACCCGGAATCCGGAGAGTGCACCCTGACCCGGAAGGTGTGTAGCCAGATGTCCAAGGGGAAATATGACCAAGGAGGAAGGCAAAAGGAGGGCCCCCGAGGGAAGACATGAGAGAACGAGTTCTGACCTTTGCTTTTAAGTTCAGCATCTCCAAGGGACCCGAGAAGCTAGCTGCTGGCCCAGAATCTAATTACATTATCTGTAATGACTCACGATGCTGACTGATGGGAGAACACAGTTTTCGAAAAGAACAGATTGTCCTTAATCCCAGGCAGTGCAAAGATATGGTTCTGGGGGTGGGGTTGTCGGGGGCGGGGGGGACTTTGTCTTGGTAAACTGTCTGAAGAAAAATGCTCGCCTCCTCTAACGACATCCCAGTTCCCTAGAACAGATGTGCTGCAATGAGCAAAGCTGACCTCAGAGCTCAAGTGCCTTCCAGCCTGGCCCTCACCTGACCAACCACTCTACCCATCCTCCTCCCTGGGGTCGCCCCAGACCCATTGCCACGCACCCTGTCGACCTACCATCCCTTCTCCTCTACCCCACCACCTCCGTGTGCCCCACAGAAATTCCGTGTTCTCAAGAGTCTGCCTTCCCCTAACCAACCCACACTTCCTTTACCACAGTGATTCTCAGAGCTAGCAGAAAGAAACGTTCCAGAAGGAAGCCTCCCTCTCGGCCGTTGGCCGGGAGCCAGGGCTTGGGGGCTCCAGGCCTCTAGGGTGAGGTCTGTCGCTTTGGTTTCCCAAGGAGCAGCAGTCGGCGGTGTGGCAGTTTTCCCTCCCGTGTCTCGGGCCAGCCTCAGCTGCACTTGCACGACTTCACCACCATATTAGACAGCTGCTCCACCTTGGGGGTCCTGCCGACGTAGTACAGGATGGTCAGGGGCTCCAGGTCCTGGGGCACGCAGCACGGCGAGGCCGAGGCCTCCGGGTTCAGGGTGTTGTACAGTCCCAGCACCTGCGGGTGGGGTCACACGTTTAAGCTGGAGAAAGCCAAGCCTGGAGCCTGTGACTCAGGAACGGTGTGAGCTGTGGAGGCTACTCTGGGTAGGCAGAGTGGTCACGGGGGCTGCTCAGGGGGGACTGTGGGAACAGTTCGGGTAAGAGACCAGTTGCGGCCATGCAGTATGGCAGAAGGCGGAACCCACGGTCATGATCCTTGCTAACCGGAGCGCATGACTGTTGTGGGGATTTGTAGTGGATAAACTCTTGGCTGCTGAGAAAGTCCTTCAGAAGGTCTTCCTTACTGTAAGTTCCCACACTGGTTTAAAACATTCTCACTCACCACTACCTTGACCCATTTAATAATTGCGAGAGTGTGTGGTCCAGACAGGACACAACAGCGATGTGCTCGCTGGTAGACAGCCTCATAGATTACTGCCCTGCCCTCCTTTCCCCTCGAGGAAGGCAGGTTGCAGAGCCTGCGGGCCTTTTGCTCTTTTTATTGCTACTGTTTTCCTACATGCTTCATGCTGTCTTAACGGAGGTAGAAACATCTCTGGACCACACATCTTGCCAGACAGGTGCACACGTCTGTGTCATAGGGTGGCATGGGACAGCTGAATAGCTCCCATGGTACAAAAGCTTTCGACAAAGTAAACAAAAAGGACTCTTGAAACTATATGGTAGGAGCTCCAAATGCGTGTCCGTGTGTGTCGATGTACCTGTTTGTCTGTGCTAGAGACTGAATCTAGAGCACCGTACAGGCGCATACTTTTTACCCATTGCAGAGTGCGACCGAGTAGAATCGGGCCAGCCTGCCGAGATCAGAATGTAACCACAGGGATTTTCTCATCCAAAATGATCACTCATTTAACAGTCAACCTCTCATTCACTCATACAGACAAGTAGCCTGGTCAGCGGAGCCCCAGTACCCAGAGAGCATGCGCCTTGCTCCATACCGTGCTGTGGGTTGTGTCTGCGCTGCGGAGGTACGGGCAGGGGCCTGAGCAGAAGTTGGCATAGTAACCCTTAGGTTCGTGGACCCATTTCCAGCCCAGATCCTGCCGGAAGTCAATGTAGAGGGGGCGCACACAGCAGTTCTCCTCCAAGTTGCTATAATGAAAACACACACAGGAAATCAACAGAGAGGGAGACTATTATGTCAGAAGCTTCACTCGCATTTTCCTGTCTGAAGACACCAGGAAGTCACTCTTTCCAAAGGTAAAGTCTGATTTTTTTTTTTTTTCAGTTTTTCGAGACAGGGTTTCTCTGTGTAGCCTTGGATGTCCTGGACACTCACTTTGTAGACCAGGCTGGCCTTGAACTCTTAGAGTTCACCTGCCCTGCCTCTTCGAGTGCTGCGAGTTCACCTGGCCTGGCTAGTCTGATGTCTTGTAGGTTTTAAGACCAAACCAGGATAGACTCCATTGTTTATCCTTTAAATAGCCACTCCTAACCACATTCCTCCTTGACTCCTCTCATCCCAGGGATACTCATTTTCCTGGCCACCCTTGAAGGCTGGGGCAGTCATGTGACTTGATTAACGGCCAGTCAGAACTAGAGAAGTTGGGGGGAGTAGGACAAGCTCTGGCAAAGATACTTGATTGTTTAGAAAAGCAACAGCTGGAAGAGGAAAGCTCTTGGCTCTTCTCTCCTTTTTTTCTTAAGCATGGACAAGTCACCTGGAGTTCCAGAAACCCCCATGGCCTCAGGCAAGAAGCTGAAGAGCCCTCACAGTAAGCAGTCCAGGTGAGATCAGAAAAACACGCAAATCAAGCAGTTAGACCAACCTTACGTGCGTCACAGAAACCCCTTCAGGCTGAAGTCACTCGGTTCACCCCAGCTGACAAGTAGCCCTATGAGATGGGCCTACTTGACAGCCTTGGAGCAGGTGCTGGCACCCACACCACCTCTTCCATGCCTGCTGTTTCCTGAGCTGGCAGTAGATTTAGCTGTCCCACCCAAACTCCATCCCGGTATCTTCTCTGGCCCACTGACCCTTTGTGCTCCTCCTCTCCCTGGAAGTACTCTCCCTCTGCCCCATCACCCACCCCCTCTTGGATCCCTTCATGAAACTTCACCCATCCTTGAAGGAAGGCTTTGTTCAAACCCCAGGCTTTCCTGTCTCCATTTATGTGCTCCCAGGTCCCAGTCTGCAAGAACTTCATTCTCCAGACCCCCTCCCAATGCCATGGTCTTCCTGTTATCCTGGGAGGTAGGCTTTCTCATCCTTCCCACATCTGTGAGCAGTTCAGCTGTCCATAAAGAAGTGCAGCAGCCTCCACAAAAAGGCAGTTTCCTTCTGAAGCCCTTGGTGATTTCTCTAACCCAAGAGCTCCGCTGTGAATGAAGGACTGTCCTATCTTCCCTATCCAGTCTCATCCTCCAGGCTTGCATAGATGTGATGGATCCTGTTAATTGTCAACTCCAAAGAATCCACAATCTCCTGTGAGAAGGGCTGCTGGGTGTGCCTATGGGGATTATCTTTATTTCAAGAATTGAGATGGGAAGACCCACCCACGTGGGGGGCACCATTCCCTAGGCAGGAGAATGTGAGTTGGAGGAAGTGAGCTGAACACTAGTGTGCATTCCTTTCTCTCTTCTCCTAACTGCGAATATAATGTGAGCAGCTACTTCAAGCTCCTGATACCCTGAAGTCTTCGTGATGGATGTAAGAAAGTAAGATAATAGGAACCAAGCACTTTTTCAATGGACTCTCTGCATTAATCTCCCTGCACACAAAAGCATCTTGCAAGTACTTTAAACAGGAAGACCATAAGGAAGCTTTGCCTAAGTACCCCCAACGGCAGCACCCCAGATTCTCCTCCTGACCAGAGCCAAGCTACAGAAAACACCAGGCTCCCAGAAAAGCAAGAAGAGGTTGGAAAAGACTTCTATCTGTCTTCTCTAGATCTGTTTGTGGCAAGCATCAGGGACCCTTGGCTGAGGGGGACTCGGATCTCAAGCCAGCGCCACAGGACGTCAGGTTGACCTCACCCCCTAATGGGGCCAGACTGCTCACCGGAAGCAGTAATTGGTGTCCAGTGCCCGCTTCTTCCTCTGCCCACCCTGGCCCGGGCTGTGGAGTCGGTGTGGCGGGATCATCATAAGGATCAGGTGAGGGTTGTGGTGGTCCTTCTGCTTCTTGAGCCGCCCCAGGTCTCCACGGCCATGGTCATCTTCATTGTCCACTCCTGCAAAGGGAAGCAAGGTGACAACCAGCTGTCTAAGAGAAGCAGTGCCCCTGAAGCTTGCATCCACACCCCATCTTAGCCCATCACTGCCCAGTCAGGATGAGGGGTGGTACAGTCTGTGAGGGAGGAATCACAGAGCAAGGACCCCTGTAAGACGGCACAGACTGAGGGAAGGAAGCAAGCAGCATCAAAAGTACTCAATGGTTACCATGGATACCCCTCCAGACACCAGTCAGACACCCTCACAACTCCTGCACAAAAGCGCATCACCTTCCTGGGGTCCCCTGGTGGAGTCATGGAGTGTCCCACTACCAGGCGGGTATCTGTCACACACTTCGGATCATGAAACTTAGAACCTCGGGGTTTTGGGTGTTAGTCGAGCTATCACAGAAATCCTACTGACAACTTAAGGTGTCACAGTTTGAGATAGCCCAGGCTGGAGACAAAGAGGCAAGACTTGGGAACTGTGTTCCTGCACGCTGGGCTCAGGGGCTCAGAGGTGTTTTCACTGTGAGATTCAGGTAAGGTAATAGAGCATAAGACAGGCTCAGGAAGAGAGCCCAAATTCAGCTGCCAAGAAGACCAGAGCCTGACTCAGAAGGCTTGTGAAGGACTGCCACAGGCCACTGACTGTCTTTACCAGGACAGGAAAGCTGGGAATCTAATTGACAATTACACGAAGGACTTGGATCTTAGGGAGGAGCCCTTGGGTATATAAGATAGATGTGAGCCGTTCGTGTGTGGCCCCCTTTTCTTAAGTCTTTATGCAAAAGGGACAATAAGTGTAGTGATGGGAAGGTTCCACCTTAGCCTGACCTGGATGTGAGGATGTGCGGCACTGTGGTTAGGACGTCAAGCTCTTATCATTAAAAAAACAAATACACAAAAGCTTTCGGGTTGAGTCCATGCAGGGTAAGGGATGTCTGAGGCCCAGGCCCAAGATCTATATAAGATCAAGAGCAACCTTCACCTTTCTCCAGATGACTACACTTCTCATTTGCCCAAAACAGAGACAGGAAGGCAAAAGAGAGCTTCCCTAAACTGCAGAAAATTATGCTTATATTAGAAACTGAGAAAAGCTCAACTATAGCACCAATTCTATACAAATGCCCATGATCAAACGGTCAGGCCAGGAAGCACCCATCCTAACCTACACAGTTCCTCGGCAGGGAGCAGGAAGGTCCAGCAACACCTGAAAGCCCAGTAGCAGGGCACTCACCTTCTGGCCTACCGGAGGTCATTTCCATGAGGAGAGGGAGGACAGCTGTTATTCACTGAGCATCCATTGGCTCACTGTTACACATTTCTTGTCTCATTTAATTGTGTACCGAGCTTATGAAAGAGGCACTCTTGTCCTAGTTCCCTGGACAGCTGGCCTGATTTCACCACTCCCCAGAACCCTGCTGCCTCTCAGATGCTAATCTCTCCTCTCCGAGTGGAATGGTGGACTCAGTGCTTTGTGGACAAAGCAGGATCACCCAAGTGCAAAACAGGCCTTTCCACGAAGGAGACTGGGTCGCCCATGTCCTCATCCCACCACGAGTCAGCATCAGTACCTTTGAATTTGATCTCCATCACCTCGTGAACGTTTTCCAGTATATCTCCATTGGGCTGAAAGGTGTGGCATGGACAGTGAATGCTGATTTCCAGACCCAAGTTGGACTCTGCAAGAGAAGATGTGGAGTTGGGGGAGAGAACACTGGGTGACAGGGCAGTGTGCCCACCATCCGAGGAAGGACAAGAAGTGAGTTATGTTGAGAGGCACAAGGTGACAGAAAGGGCCTCTAAGGTTGGGAGCCTCCCTCACAGGGTGCCGCACGCCACAGATTTCTGTTATGTCATGAACAGCTAAATGGCAGTGCAAACAGTGGACATCATGGAGAACGGAAGTGAACATCCATTTTCAAGGATGCTATAAAGAAATTGAGGCCTACATGCACCCACATACATACACACCACACACACACACACACACACACACACACACACACATACACACACAGATGGGGGTTACACGTACATGCACACTAACTGAAAAGTTTGACTGAATCAAATAGTCGAAGAGAAAACCAGGTTGGGTCTGGGGTAAGGCCAATCCCGTTGGGTCAGAGCTCTGTCAACCAGGGTAGCAGCCAGCTATGGCTGGTGTAGGGAAAGGTCCTGGGAGATGGACCTTTCCAGGTTAACATCTCAGGGAGATGATTGGTTTACTGTTCCCTGAAGCCGCCATCTGGCCTCAGGAACAACCTGAGGTCTTCCTAAAAGCCCACCGTCATCAAGGAACACTCCAAAAGCCACTTGGTTCAGCCCGTTTCTCCAAGGCAGAATGGTACAGGCATGGTGGTTCCAGTGACCATGATGTGAGCCTGGCATCCCAAGGGTCCAGATGACATGAACTCAGACAGTTAAAGAATAGCTCAGCTCCTCATAAATCCCAAAACCCAACCAGATTTGTTATGTCCCGGGGAGAACTTGTTAAGCATGAAGATCTCTGTTTCTGAATACTAACTCACTGGGGAAACAAGTCAATACAGCAAGGCATATTTCTAGCCCAGCTAGAAAGGCCGGGGCCAGGCATGAGGTCTGCCCTTTCCTTGGTGTTAGGCAGCTGGAAGGAGCCATGTAGCTGCAATGAGCAATACACAGTACTTTCTGTCCAAGCATGGGTGGGAGACCTGGACTGAGCAAGTTCTATGATTCTGTGTGTTAGAAAGTGAAGGCACATGCAGATGTGTTGGAGAAAGGAAAGGTCACAGTGCATGTGGCCAGCACGAGATGGTGGCCTAACTTGGTCTATGGCTCAGAGCTGATAATTGCCAACATTTGTTGACATTACTGTCCATCAAACTGCCATAAGATTTTCCCAGCAATAGTTCATTTAGTCTCTATAATGATCCTACCAACTAAAAACATCACTGGCCCATTGTACAGAGGAGATCACTGGGGCTATTAAGTTGTTTACGCAAGATACCCAGTTGGTAAGGAGTTATTTCAAGATCCAGACAGAGAGCCTATGGGTTCTGATAAGAGAGGCCACACTATACATTTTGTTTTAAACAAGGCCTCACACGTTTTGTTTGTTTTAAATAAGGGTTCACTGTATAGCCCAGACTAGCCTGGAACTCGTGATCCTCCTGCCTCAGCTTAGTGCTGGAACTGCAGGTGTGTGCCACCATTCCCAGCTGAGATACTACACAGCTAGTTGTCAGGGACAAAGACCAGGCAACAAAAGGCGCCAGGGACACATCCCTCCCACGTTCACCGAGATGCAGAATGCCCGTGCTTTCTTACTGTGCCACCTGTCCTGCACCATGACCCCAGGGTACTTCCCACCAGCCTGGCTCTGTATACAGAGAAGCTGTGGGCTGCGTGAGTAAACGCACAATAGTGGAAGGACCTGGGTCCTCCATGCTGGAGAGAGGCCCAGGCAGTTCTGGGTACCTGGAGCACACAGGCTTGCAGATGCTTCCTGAGTCCCAAACCACAGGTGTGACTCAGTCCTCATCACTCCACACCACCAGCTGCTCCAACTCGGAGTCTGTTTGCTGCCTGGTTTGGGGCCATGAACTCTGAGGAGATTCAGGAACAAAGGCCTCAGCTACTTCCCCTGAGGGAAGGGAGGGGTGGGCAGAATTTGCCGAAGTGTGAAATGAAGGTTCCAATGAAAAACAAACCTCAGGAGTTGGCAGTGGTGGGGTGGTGGGTGGAGGACCCCCAGGTTTTATTATGAAATGTCTCAAGGAGGCTGGAAAGCGTGTCCTATGCAAACTTCTCCTTGAGTTCTGCAGCTGTGAACAGAAGCGCTCCAAGTGCCCAGGGCTTCAGAGAAATCCAGGTGGAGCTGATTAAAATCAGACAGGGAAACTAAGAGATGAATTTGCCCAGCCCCTTCTTCTGTGCCCGAGCTGAAGGCTGCCTACAGAACTGCCTGGAGAGGTGTTACCATTGCTACCATCTGGGTCCTGTTCTTTCTCACAGGCTGTATTACTTTCCTACAAGGACCAGGACAGGGTCTCTAGCCTACCACGTGTCAACTCAGTTACCACACTAGGCCCTGCAGATGGGAGCTTGAAGACTTGGCCGTCTAGAGTCCAGTAGATCATGGAAGTCCGCACATTTTACAGGGTGGCTACCGCTCATCTCGGGCACACTGTCAGGGGGCCGGTCTTGTCATTAGTCAAGAAAAATCAGAAATCTTTGTGGTTTTGTTTTTTGGGGTTTTTTTGTTTGTTTGTTTGTTTGTTTTGTTTTTTTGAGACTGCATCTCTCTACATAGCCGTGGCTGTCCTGGAAAACACTACGTAGACCAGGTTGGCCTCGAACTCACAGAGATATATCTGCTTCTGCCACCAGAGTGCTAAGATTAAAGGCGTGCACCACTATACCCAGTTTTAGATGAAATCTCCTATTGCTACCACCATCATTAAGCAGTCAGAGCAGAAAGGACCAACATGGTGTCAAGACACACCAGACTGTTATTACTCAGGGGATGCAAGTTCTAATCCAGGCTGGATCAGCTCAGACTTCTCTACTCTGGACCTTGGCTTCCTCATCAGATGTAATGAGAGCTTGCTCTTGACAAGGCGCTTTGGAATCCACAGAGTTCTCTCAGATACATGTGACCCTTGAAACAACTCTGGGAGGCTGCAGAGTGGAAGCATTACTTCATTTTCTAGGTGAGGAGGCACGGTGGGTGCATATGATATTTGTGACATGTGACCTTTGATTCACGTACTGTAGAGTTCAATGACCCTGGGCATCGAAACTGAATCAGCCCACACTGAACCTGCCACAGATCTCTTCTTCTAGTCTGCCCTAGACATCATCGGAGATCGCTCTTTTGTCTTAACATATACCTAATGCTAGCCTATTGGCTCAACCTCCAAATTACAGGATGAATCAATATTTCTGTGTCAACTGCACTGTCCCATTCAAGCCGCCGCTGCCCTCGCTAGACTGCTACCGCGCTCCCTAAACGTTTTCCTTGCTTCTCCCCTTTCCTTGCCAGCAACTAGAGGGCTTTTGGTAAGGACCACCTCATTGCAGCCACATGCCTACCCTGCTGATAGCATCCAGCACACTTGGAGTAAGTCCCCAATCCTGCCTGTGGTCCCACAGATACTGGACAAGATGGCCTCAGCTTCCGGTATTCCACTCTGCTCACTGCTGCAACAAATCAAGCTGGGTTCTGCCTAGGGGCCTGGGTCTTACGGTTTGTTGTTGTTGTTGTTTTGCTTAGGTCACCCTTTAGCCTAGCCTCCCGACCTTAAAGGGCTCGCTCCTTCTCTTCGCCTAGATCTCAGTGTCAGACTCCCTTTCCTTACAGAGACCACCTCCCCTAAGCAGCCAGCCATCCAGCCGGCCTCCAGCTGTCATCACCTTGATTCCTTAGTTTTCAGTGCGTTGTCATCGATGTGTTCACGGGCTTACTATATGTCTCTGCCACCAGAACGAAAGCCCCGTGAGATCTGAGCCCTCACCTGTCTCGTTCGATGCTGAATCCCCCAGGGCCTGACTTAAGAGCCAGCATTTAATGATGGAGGGAGAACAGTTAGTAGCAAAGCTGGATTTTGATATACGGCTTCCTCCCCACCCCCTCCTCCAGTTCTTTCCCCTTTCCTCTCAAGACACAGAAGGGACCTGGAGTTCCTCCTGAAATGTCCCTGCTAAGAGTTCACCCACCTCTCCGCAACAGCCACTCGCGCACAGTGTCAGTGACATCAAAAGACAGCCACTCAGCAGTGCCCCTCGTGGGCAGATTCTTGCCACCGATGTAGCGCTGCTTGGCAATGTGCTCATCTGGTCGCAGAATCTGCGGGGCAGAGGACAGAGTAAGCATCTGAGGCCAGGACGGAGCGCCAGGGATAGGCTACAAGGCACGGGACCGGAGGGCCAAGCAAGGGGTGCCCAAAGGCTTCTGAACACCAGGCCCCTTGTACACCTCGGAGCCCTCTTAATGAGAAAGGCTCCCAGGGGTCTGACCAGGTCCGTCAAACCCCCGTGCTCAGTGTGGGCCAGCCCTGGAGGTGGAACCAGCTTCTAGGGTGTGGTTTCCCGCTGGAAGAGGTACCTGGAAGAGCTCAATTCTCTGCTCTGTGCGCTTGGAGCTGGGGTTGGGCACCCGCAGGACCCGGAACTCTGCCCGGAACAGATTGGTTCCATTTTTCTCCACTGAGGACACGTTGAAACGAAAAATCTTAGAGGTAATCCCTTTGGGGCAAACAGCCAGCTCATCTAGAAGGAAAAGCAGTGGGGAGAGGCTAGTGAGCGAGGGCCCCCGAAACAGTGTGCTGCCAGCAGACACGTGCCAAGCGGCCACAGTCCTGTCTATGACCGCCTTAGAGGCTGGAGGCCTCAGACCTGAAGGTGTAGATGAAGGAAGATTCTTGGTGACCCCAGAGTCATAGAGAGTCCTGAATGAGGAGCAGAGAGGCCCTGGAGCCCCAGGACATATAATTGAGACCAAACAGTCAAGTGTAATTGCCCCCTTTAACCACTGTCTTTTTAATATGTGTGTGTGTGTGTGTGAGAGAGAGAGAGAGAGAGAGAGAGAGAGAGAGAGAGAGAGAGTGTGGACACTGTGTGTGTACAGCACCCACAGAGGGCAAAAGAGGGCATTGGATGTTCTGGAACTGGAGCCATAGGCCATTGTGAGCTACCTGACATGGATGCTAGGACTGGAACCCTGGTCTTCAGGAGGAGCCCCAGTGCTCTTAAGCTGAGCCAGCTCTTCAGCCCTCCTCCCACTGTCTTGCTATCCCCAAACTGTTAAGCTCTCCAGATTTGTTTTTCTTATTCTTTCAAAAATACAGATTCTCTGCCAGGCCTGGCAGCAAAGCCTGCAATGTCAGCACTTGGGAGACTGAAGCAGGAGGATCTTGACTTTAAGGCCAGCCCGGTCTATGTAGCAGGTTCCCAGCCAGACTAAGTTTTAAGAACAAAACAAACAATCAAACAACAACAAAACAGGTTGTGAGAAGATAGCAGCTAGTCACTTAGTTGTCTTATAGCTAGTGGATCCATTCATGTTCTTGTTCATAGGGCACTTATCCAATTTTAAACATGTATAGGGGCTGGAGAGATGGCTCAGTGGTTAAGCACACCTGCTGCTTTCCCACAAGACCCGAGTTCAATTCCCAGCACCCACATTAGATGGCTTGCAACTAGTTGGTTGTAACTCTAGCTTCAAGGGATCTGACACCCTCTACTGGCTTCCTCAGGCACACAGATAGACACACACACACACACACACACACTAAATCTTTACAATTTCCATTTGGTTGGTTGGTTTTGGTTTTTCAAGATTGGATTTCTCTGTGTAACATCCCTGGCTATCCTGGAACTCACTCTGTAGACCAAGCTGGCCTTGAACTCAGAGATCAGCCTTCCTCTGCCTCCCTAATGCTGGGATCAAAGGTGTACACCACCACCTCCCAGCTTTTTAAACATCTAAACATATGTGAAAGACGATAGGAAGCCACAGCCCCTGCCTGCAGATGACGCCGAGTCAAATCACAGGACCTTCGGGTGATGCAGAGGACTGGCAGGAAGAATGAGGAAGAATCAAGTCCTTAAGGGGCCAGGGGCTCAGTCCCTAATGGAAGGGGTGACAACAATCTCCTCTTGCACAAGGGTGGGGCGATGACAAAGGGATTTTACACACACGGACTGCTGGAGGCAGACGCAGGCCGGAGAGGACGAGAGACCCATAGTGGCATGCTGAAGTGAAGAGAAGAGGTTGAAATACTGGGTTGTAGGGACACCCAGGTGTCAAACTGAGAGGCCGAACCTCATCCTATTCATAGCAGGGAGCTGCAGAAAGGGGTTGAATCAAGGCGGTGGCTTAGACCTAAACAGCGAGCAGTTTCTATGGTAAAGAGGCCATAGCTTGAGTCTGGAAAAAAAAAATTTTTTTTTCAAATAAAAAGATATGACTGTCAACAACTCCTTTCTCTTTAAGGATGTCCTAGTTACGGCTGCTATTGTTGTGATGAAACACCATGAGGAAAAGCAATGTGGGGAGAAAAGGTTTTGTTTGGCTTATGCTACCACATCAAATAGTCCGTCACTGAAGGAAGTCAGGGCAGGAACTCAAACTGGGCTGGCACCTGGAGGCAGGAGCTGATGCAGAAGCCATGGAGGGGTGCTGCTTCCTGGCTTGCTCAGCCTGCTTTCTTTCTTTGTTTATTCTTTTGTTTTGTGTTTTTTTGTGTGTGTGTGTTTTTTTTATTTTTATTTTTATTTTTTGGGGGGGAGGTATCTCTGTGTAGCCCTGGCTGTCCGGGAACTCTTTGTAAACCAGGCTGGCCTTGAACTCGTGGAGATCTTCTTGCCTCTGCTTCTTGAGTGCTGGAATCAAAGGCCTGCACCACCATACCCAGCCAGCCTGCTTTCTTATAGAAGCAAAAACCTCCAGCCTGGGGATAGTGCCACCCACAATAGGCAAGGCCCTCTGTCCCCATTAATCACTAGTTAAGAAAAGGCCCTACAGTTGGATCTTATGGAGGCGTTTTCTCAACTGAGACTCCCTCCTCTCTGATGACTCTAGTCTGTGCTGAGTTGACATAAAACTAGCCAGCCCAAAGAGTCTGTGACCTTGGTAGCCTGTGCTACGCCAGCCTGTGCCATCCCGCTAACAGCCGGAAGGCAGCAGATGCTCCCTGCAGGTCCAAGCCAGACAAAGGAGAGCAGAAGCCTGTCTCCTCTCTGCCCCGGTGTCCTTTACAACTTCAAGGTCTGAGAGCATTAACACCAGAGAAGTCCTTTCTACACAAAGGGTAACAACAGCCATGACTTGAAATTCAAGCTCCTAGACCCAGATTCCACACATAATGGACATGGCTGGGATGTGAGCAGAAGCATCCGCCAGGAGTGGATGAGGAGTCATGGCCCAGGCGGGGCAGATAAGAAGCCTAAAACCAGCAAACACGCTCCTGGTTCTTTAGGCAGGGATGAGTGGGTGTTTCTGGAAACTGCCATCTGGTGGGCCTGACGCTGGCAGTTAAAGGAAAATGAATGGAACAGCTATAGGAAAGAAGTGTTGTGAAGAGCAGCTAATGAAGCCCTCGTTAATAATTGGCCTTGGAGGAACAAAAACTGCCAATTATTCTCTAAGCCAGTCCAGGGGCCAGGGAGTGGTGGCAATCCTCGTATGTGCTGCTAGGGGTGGAACCAAGAGTCCCTCACATACAAAGCACACGTCTAGAAAGCATTTTATCTCAAGTTCTAACTATGCCTACTTACATGTGCCTTGGGTGGGGGTTTGTATACATGAGCGCAGTGCCCAAGGAGGCCAGAAGAGGGCATTGGATCCCCTGGAGTTAGCATGAGAGGCAGATGTAGGTGCTGGGAACTGAACTATGGTCCTCTGCAAGAGTAGGACACATTGTGTAACAGACTCACATCTGCAGCGTCCGTGTATACGTCAACAGGGCCTGTATCTCTGGATGTGGACAAGCACCTGGACCAGTGACCCTCCCAGTGACTGAGAACTGGTCTGGGAGATGTCTCCAGTCTGGCCTCTGCAATAATTGTCTGTTAGGAGAGCATGAAGGGGAGTCAGGGCAATGTGTACCCTGATATGAAAGGGGAGAAGAAAGTAGAAAATAGTAACTAAGGAGGAAGGGACCAGAGTGGGGTGGAAGCAGCAGGCTTCCAGGAAACAGGGACGGTGACGTCCTAACAGAGTCCTCGGGACACGCTGATGGCTTCCCTTGCTAACCTCCACTCCATCACTCACGTACCTGTACCTTGACAGACCCCTCTTAGTGAAAATTCTGTGGCAATTCAAGAAGGAATGGGAAGCGCTTGGGAGGTAGAGGCTGAGGCATCAAAATTCTGAGGTCAGAACCAGAGAGATGGCTCATGGGAAGATCACTGATTGCTCTTCTAGAGGACCTGGGTTCAATTCCCAGCACCCACATGGTGGCTCACAACTGTCTGTAACTCCAGTTCCTGGGCATTTGACACCCTCTTCTGGCCTCTGCAGGCACCAGGCACATACGTGCTGTAGACAAACACACAGGCAAAACCCCCATGTACAAAAAATTTTTAAAATAATTTTCAAATTTGTCTGAGGCCATGGGCTGGCAAGATGGCTTTATGAGTAAAGGTGAGTGTTGCTAAGTCTGGTGATCTGAGTTTGACTTCCAGAACCCACACTGGAGAAGAGGATGATGCTAGACTTCTAAAAGTTTTCATCTGGCCACAACTCACGTGCAAGCATGCATGGGTGCCCTGACACACACATAAATAAATGTAATAAGAAGCTTTTGAGAGTTCAGAGCCAAGCTGAACATAGTAAGACCCTGTCCCTAAGCAAATAAATAAAAATACCTTCATGTAGTTAGTGGAATTAGTGGAAAGGATTGTGTAAACAAGTAAGCAAAACATATCGCACACCACCTTACATTTTATGTAGCTCCTCTAACAATACCCAAAAATAAAGAGAATCTGTAAAATGTATCATTCTACCCATGAGAAAATAGAACATCAGAAGAGCTAAATGGTTGTCCCATGGCCACTCAGGTAGCAGGTGGCAGACGTGGGATTTGACCACACCCTATTGATCGAATCTGAGACCCTGAAAGTCAGAGTGGACCCAGGTGATTACCCAGGGGAAAGATATTAATAATTTTAGCAGCAAATATGACAGAATTCCTCAAAAGGTCCCTGGCATCCCAACATTGCCTTAAAGAGTCAATGACCAGGACCCTTTGTGCTTAAGATCTGCTCTCGACAGGCAAGAGCTGGGCACAGGCGTCACCTTGACAGAGTACATCATTTCCAACTGTTTCTGATGCCCTGAACATTGCATAGTGATGGACGCTCTTTCATCTGTTTTGCGCTAGGAAGAACAGCAAACAACCCACAAAACCCATACACAGTATTCATGGAGAACCCAGGAAACTGTGTGTGTAGCTATCTCTTAAAAATGTTCTCGGACAGGTGTGTATCGGCTCGAACACCTCCTTTCTGTGGGAGCCAATGGCGGAATGATATGAGCAACAGGGCCACCTGGAGTGTTTAAAGCAGTGAACTATGACCCCACTACTCAGCAACTGACTGCACTGGGTGGGTCCACAGCAGTTTTCCAGATGTTTCCAGTGTGCAGCCAGAACGGAGAAGCAAAGTTTATCATTTTTCTGCGAAAGGTACCACGGTTTCAAGTGTGCTAGGGGCCTGAAAAAGCCCTGCCTAGATGGTCTCAAACTTTAGATGGATTAACCTGGAAATGAATTAGATGTTGTTTAGCCAATGTTTAAAAGTTTTGCCTTAGAAGCCCATAAACATTTTAAGTCTGTGTTACAAGTTGGGAGATTTCACAGAAATTTCCAGGTTCTCTGCTATCCTGGGAAATGATAAGATAGAGTCAAGCTGGACCTACATTCCTGAACGTGAAAATCAGTAAGAGCTACATGGTGGCTTCCTCCCTTAACAGTCACTCCAGCTCCTCCCACCCCAACCCTGCCACATAAGCCTACTTTCTCCGTGGCCGTAGCTGCTCTTCTAGAACCATTTGAACCCCCCGACCTACTCTCTGAGGGCATTTGTCCTTAACAGCCACTGCTAGGAAACTCTTTGCCCCTGGGCCACCCCATCTTCAAGCTGACTGAGAACAAAAGTTCCCCTTGATGTCTCCACACTTCCCCTACTCTGTGAGGGAGACATGGGCCCAGGGTGTTCTCTCCAGGCCCTTCTTGGGTAGCCAGAACCTTACTGAGTGTCTAACACTCATAGCTGTGGTATATAAGTTCTTTTAATATGCAATATCTTTTCTCAAAGGTTTCTTTATTTTTTTTTTCTGTGCCGTGGCGTTTTGCTTGCATATATGTCTGGGTGAGGGCATTGGATCCCTAGGAGCTGAGGCTCCTGACAGTTGTGGGTTCTGGGAATTGAACCCATGTCCTTGTGGAAGAGCAACCAGTGCTCTTAACTGCTAAGCCATCTCCTCAGCCCAGCCCCCGTGGAATATCTTTTACATTTCATAACGAACAAAATCTACGGGTGAAGAGAAAGCCCAAAACACAAGGTAGTCTTCCTGCTGGGGGAATTCTGCCCTTGGTCTTAGCACTTCCCTTGGCTGCTAAGAACACGAGTCTCACAAGGTACAGATACCTCCAAGGCCCAAGGCCGAAGGTGAAAATGATGCTTACACCCATGCTTGTACCGATGATATGGCAAAGATAGTGCCCTTCCTTATTACGTGAGTCAGAGAAAGCACCTACTCATTTCCCATGGCAACGTCTTAGAGAATTATTCGATGGCTGATTCTTGCCTCTGTCTGACAAAATTCATATGAGGTAAAAAGGGAGCCGAGGGACGACCTCCCATGAGGAAACGGAGGCTCTGGGAAGAAACACCCTATGGCCGAGTTTGCTTAACTCGCTTGAGACTGTCTAGGAGGAAAAGGAGACCCATTCATTGAACCTGGGGGAATACGTCTGGCATATGAATCTCCTGTGCCACCCCCAACAGTCATAGTGGAAGCAAATCCAGTTTACTCCCAAGGCTGGGTAACCTGGGTTACAGACACAGCAACTGGTACCCTCTCCTGGTGAGATTAATGTAGGATACATCTGTGTCACAGGCCAAGGTTCTACTAGAGTCTAAGAGTAAAGGTGGCTTTAAAATGTGTGTTTTATGTTTATGCTCAGCATGTATTTCACACACGTCCGTTCCAGGTTGGAACACTTAACGGATGCGCCATGATGAGGCAGAGCCGGAAGACCATTCTCACTGGCCTCACTCCGGTGCCTGGCCTCCCACTAGAGACTATTCCTTCTTCGGGTTTGCCTGTCTATGTCACCTTGCCCCAGGTCCTATTGTCACTTCCTTCCAAATGCCCATCCTCTGGGAGTGATACAGCGTGAAAGCAAACTTCATCTCTTGTACAGAGCCTCTGATAGTGCAACAGGATCGACCCGGAACCAGTCCTAGCTACCCTCAGAAGCTCAGGACAGGACAGGCAGTGGTGGCATGGGCCTTTAATCCCAGTGCTCCAGAGGCAGAAGCAGGCAGATCTCTCTGCTTTTGAGGCTAGCCTGCTCTACAGAGTGAGTTCCAGGACAGTCAGGGCACCACAGAGGAACCCTACCCTCGCCCCCCCCCCCCCCCCAGCCTGATCTAGGAAAACAAAAACAAACAAAAAGTTGTTTGGGATGGGCTTCTCAGCAGCTGTTCCGGCCTTCTTTGTACTTAGTGTGCCAGGGTGAACCACCACCTGGCCAGCTGCAGGGTGGACCCAGGTTGGTGCCCATCCAACCAGCTGTGCTAGCTGCAGAGTGCCCCGACCTGCTTCCTGATGGTCCTATGAGCCTCCCCGGCATTGCCTGTGTCCCACTCAACACTGGCTCCTCCTCAGCATCTAGAAGATGATCCTGTTCACTGCGTCAAGTTGGCACACTCCATAGGCCCCCACACCCCACCCCTGCCTCAACTCTTGATGCTCCAGCCTGGCAACTGAGCATATGTCGGGGGCGCTCCCGGCTTTGTCTGAGGCTATGCCTTCTGCACCCTGGATTTCCATACCAAGTCCACATCCACACATACCTGTGTGGCCGTGTGTCCACGTGGATGGCTCGTTCTCCCCTCAGGGCTCCAGACAGGGCGATCCCTCATGACCCAGAATCCCTCCTTCCTCAGACTCTCCTCCTGACCTAGGCTCTGAAGGTTCCAGGACTACCATCTTGTCCTTCGCTTTCCTCAGACTTGTAAGCACCTCTGATGCCTGTGGCTACTATGACTGGCTTTTGGTAGGTGACCAAGAAGTCCTGGGTTCAGCCCATCTAGTCCTGAATGACTCCAGAAACTGTGATCACCCCAGGCAGGGAGTTCCAGATCTGCCTGGTTTCCAGGCTCGACTTTGCACAAGTAGCCAGATCCAAAGAAAGGAAACTGCAGGCAGGCACAGGAAACTGTACTGAGAACGCTCCCATCCCCACCTCCCGAAACCACAGGTTTCTTTCTGCCTGGTAGGCCAGCTCCCTCCTGGCCTTTCCATCTTCCTTGAGAGCCACTCCACCCATTGGCACTCATTCTGCTCCTTCCCTGCAGCCAGGTTTCTTTAGCTGCCTGCTGTTTGCCCCATGGCCACTCTGACTGTGCCACCCCCCTGGCTCTGCCCCATCCTCTCACCCCCACTTGGGCACTGTCCACCTCTCAGGTGGGCCCCTGGACTGAAGTCACCAGGGCTCGGAGGACACCTGCTGGTAGGGAGAGCGAACCAAGAGGCTCCCAGACTCAGGCCCAGAGCGGCTCACATTCCTCTTTCCTAGGCTGTCAGTTTCTCGACATCTGCCAAATTTCTCTCTCTTGTATTGAGGTTTTTTTAAATCCCCGTTCAGTAAACACACACGACTTCCACACGTGTGCAAACACACACAGGCGTCTCACACAGAAGCTTCCCAGCTCCTCTGCAGACAGCAGCCTCCTGGGAAGAAACGCTCCCAGACACACATCCCCATCACCCCCACAGCCATCCCTCCCACTCACACCTCCCCTTGGCGGGCCAGATGCTTTGGGTTATCCTGTGTCCATTACCGTGGGAGGCCTCGCTTTACACATACGAATCCTTCTGCTGTGTAATGTAAGTGTTCACATCGCCCCAAAGTCCACGTATGTGGGAATATGCACGCATTACCCTCCCCCTCCCAGCTCACGTGGTGTGGTGTGTGTGTGTGTGTGTGTGTGTGTGTGTGTGTGTGTGTGTGTGTTAGACTAAGGGGCCTCGACTGGGCTTCTGAAAATGTGATGAACACAGATTTGAGGCGGGTACTGTGCTTCCTGGGAGCTAGGACACTGACTGGGACATGTGACACAAGGAGCTGGGAAAAGCAGGGAGAATATGGAGGTGTCCGGACTCAGAAGACTGAGGATTTGGGGGCCAGCCAGCCCACCCCTTGATAGAACCCATGTGCACACTTGTGTGAGAACATGTCTCCCGAGGTGGCACAATACCAATCGGAGTTAATAGTCATCAAGGATGTCCTGGGAGTCCACTTGGCTCCAGGGCTCCTGGCCTCTTGGAGCTCTAGGCTCACACCAGAACGTCTCCGTCTCCTTTCCCACCCACCTACACAGCTGCAGCTTCAGTGCCTGACCTCCGTGGTGAACCCTGGGGTGCACTGCCGTGTAACCGCCGCCAGGGCCCCTCTGTGGAGCCCCCCCCTTTCCAGTTCACCCGCTCCAGAGCAGACACCCAGCAAGCATTTGGACTTACTGTGCTCGGCCAGTCCCTGGATCATGTCGAACTTATGGATCTCTTTGGCATAGTACTCCGACTCAGTGTTTTCCTGAGTGCAGCCTTCCTCCTTTTCCCCGTGCATCTCTTCCAGCAGCTCCCGGGTGCTGTTGTAAAGTGCCAGGACCTGATAGGGGACGTGGGTCATCACCGACGGCTCGGGGGGGCTGGTGAGCCTGAGCTTGCTCAAGATCTGTCCCCTAATGGCTTCCACCCTTTTCTTCTTGATGTGGCCGAAGTCCAAGGTGGTGCAAGTGGACAGAGAGAGGCTGACTCTGGCCAAGTTCAGTAGGGCCAGGACCACCAGGGCCTTTTGCAAGTGCATCTTCTTGTGTGAGTCCAGGAGCAAGGCCAGGGGCCTGGGGAAGCCTGGCAAGGATGATACCCCAGTCGAAAGAGGGAGGAAAACCAGGCGTCCTCCCCAGATCCCAAAGACTGAGGCTTGGCAAGAGGGTGCATGAACTCACTGCACTGCGAGCGCTTCAGGACTCCCAGGAAGCGCTGGCAAACCCCGGGATGAAGAAATAGCGGACCGAGTGCTGTGGAGCGCTGGGCTTCCTGTCCATACGTCTAAACAGGTTCTGCTGGGCTGTGACTCCCAGCAGGCCAGGTGGAGGGCAAGCCGAGGGTTGGGAGGGGTGGCAGGGCAGCTGGGAGTGGGAAGAGAGCTGGAGTTTTTTCCTTAGGTAAAAATAAATAGAGTGGATATCTGATATTGCCAAACGCCGCTTGGCAATGGCGAGAAAGTGGGTATTTTACAGAAAGTGCAGAGGGGCCATGGCTGGGTCCCAAAAAATCAGAAACTTTGCCTTGCCCTGAAGGAGAATAAAAGAGAGAGAGAGAGAGAGAGAGAGAGAGAGAGAGAGAGAATGGAAAAGAAAAGGAAAAAAAATTTAAATCACCAGTGGGTATGTGGGGAGAGGCAGGGCTGGGCAGCAGCGGCAGGCCCAACTAAAGGTGTCGCGGGCAGTGCAGGACACACTTGTCTCTGGAGCGCTCCATTCATGCTTTCCCTTTTGTTTACACTTCCTCGGGGGCTTTCTAAATGACTCTGTTCACGCTGCCTCTCCTCTTCATTGGCTGGGATGAGAGCTTATGTGCAACTGGCAAGCTGGGGCGGGGGACAGGCCTCTTGGAGACAGCTCCGGTAGGTAATCCGCTTGGACCCACGGTCAACATCTCAGCTTGTCTTCTCTCTCGGCCATGGCTTCTCTCCCTTGCTTCTCCTCAGGGGAAGAAGAAGAAGAAGAAGAAGAAGGAAAAAAATCAAAAGGAAAAGAAAACAGAAGCTGATTCACCGCAGCTGACTCCGGAGAGCGTTATCCCTTCCTCCGCAAGCCTCTTTCGGTGCGCGCGTCTCCCCTCTCTGCGGCTGAGTCCCCTACGCTCGGCCCTCTCCTGCCCTCCTTTTCTCCCTCTCTCCCCTTCTCTCTCTCTCTCTCTCTCCCTCTTCTCCCTCTCTCTCTCTCTCACACACACACATGCACACACACTGCTTTCTCTATTTCTCTCTGCTGAAATTTTATACCTCCCTCCCATGACGTCTCGGCCTGGGGTGGGGGAGGGAGGGAGGGAGGGAGGGACCAGCGTACACGGCCTCTCTCGCTGCACGGTTTTAATGTTTTAAACAGGCACAGGAAAAGCCGAGCCCATTTGAAAAATACTTTGCGAGTCCTCTGGTTCGACGTGGTAACTGAACTTTTTTTTTTTTTTTTTTTTTTCTTCTCTCCCCTCCTCTTGGAGTCATTCCTGCTACACGTTGGCTGTTTTTCTGGAAAGTTACTCCCGAGCCCCCTCCCTCCTGCTACCCCGGCCCCTCTGCGCAGGGGCCAGCTGTCAGTCCACGCTCTCCGCCCCGCTCTCTCGCCTCCCCCGCGTCCCCGATCGCCCCCGGGCAGGCAGGGGGGATAGGCGCGAGGTCCGCTAGGGCAGCTGGGCCGGGCGGCCGGGCCACTCTCTCCAGGCCCGAGGGTGGAACTGGGCTCGGCCGCGATCCTGGCAGCGGTTCTTCATGGACCATCCCGGAGCCCGGCGGCGGCGGCTCGGGTGAATGATGGCGCTTTCCGGAAGGCCGAGGGTGCCCTCTGGCGAAGCCGGGCCGCCAGTGACGGAGGCGCCGGGGCTAGGGACACCTGGAACGCCACCGTCGCGTCCCCGGCCCCACGGGTGGGCGGGGTCCGCTCCTCTCGCGGCCAACTCGGTACCTGGCCCCAGCTCATTCCCCAGCCAGGTTTCTAGCTCTTTTTTTTTTTTTTTGTCCTCATGAGCAGCTTAAGGGAGGCCAGACTCAGATGGAGCTGCTCACTTTCTTCCTGTTAGTGGCCTTTTCCCAATTCTCATAGGTAGCCTTTCTGACCCTTTCTGAGATGCCTGGCTCCTAAGTCTCAATTGAAAAGATATTTATGTGTTATCTAACAATTGAGGAAACTGAGGCACAGTTTTTTTTTTCAGGGTCACAATGCACGTGGGTAATGGAGGTGTCTATCACAGGCTAAGCTGAAAAGGCATTATTTTAACTTGCATGACTGAGGAAACCTAGCACAGAGAGATCTTCAAAGTGACTTCTTGCTCACAGAGCTCTTAGGTTGTTAATACCACCATCCAGCCCATCCATTGCCAGTGTGCACTGTGGCCATTATGCTATGTTTGCTTCTGAAATTTGGAAAATAAAAATTTTGAGAGGCGTGTGTGTGTGTGTGTCTCTCTCTCTCTCTCTCTCTCTCTCTCTCACACACACACACACACACACACAGAGAGACAGAAACAGAGAAAGAGAGCGTGTGCCTGTGTGTAGGTACCCTTGGAAGCCAGATAAGAGCAGCCATTCCTCTGACGCTGGAGTTACAGAGGGCTGTGAGCTGCCCAGCATAGGTTGCTGGGAATTTGGCCCCAGTCTTCTGCAAGAGTAGAGAGTGTGTGCTCTTGATCGCGACCTACTTCTCTGGCCCTGAGGGATAGCCCTGAGGGATAGCCCTGGTGTTTATTCCATGCCCTGCACCGGTCTAGGCACTGAAGAGAGTCAGTGTGCAAAACAGAACTTGCTTTTATGGAATTTGCATTATAGAATAGGCGAGGGTAGTAAAAATAAAAATAAAAAAAAACCTAAGGAAATATGCAAATTTATGGGAGTGCAAGGAGTGGGGGTGTGAAATTTAAAAAGGGGCGACCCCAGAGGCTGAGGCTCTTGAGCCAGCTCTTTACCATGTGGGAGGCAAAGTTAATGAAGGAATTCTTTTCCGGGTCTCACCCTCCCCACCCCTCTCACTCCAGTAAGAGCTATGTTTTTAGACTCACTTCTCAAATGATTCAAGCTCTGGGTAGAATTTGCCAGCCCCTGCTTGCTGGGGATTCTCTTTACCCACTGTGAGTACCATTCACCCTTTGTTTTCTCCGAGTTGGGGAACGAGTGGGCGGGAGCTTACAAGAAGCTGAAAAATCCAAACATTAATCCCTTCTTGCACGGCTGGTGCCAAGGAAGAAGGAACATGGTCGAAACCGTCTTCGATTTTTGGCAATGATTGCTCCATTAGATTAAAATCTAACAAAATAGTCTCACCTCGAAGCCAGTAAGGATCTCAGAAGCCTCTGAAGGTCATTCCAAGAGAGGAGACACTGAGGTCAGGCAAGGCTGGGATGAGAAGTCAACAGCTCCTGTGACTTGCAGGCCAGGGTCACTGGGCATGAAAAGGCTTGGTCTCACTTGGTAAATGCTGGGAATGTACCCTTGAGCTGTCGCTTGCTGGCTGCTTCAGTAATGTTCGTCATTCAACTTTAGGGACAGTTGTCCCTAGCGTGACAGCCAGGGCTGTCCTGGAACTCACTTTGTAGACCAGGCTGGCCTCGAACTTACAGAGATCGGCCTGCCTCTGCCTCTGCCTCCTGAGTGCTGGGATTAAAGGCACGAGCCACCACTGACCGGCTCAAGTTCTTGTTTTTTTTTTTTTTTTTTTTTTTTAACCATGGCCGTCTTTATTCTATTTTCTGTGGGTCCCAGTGACCAATGCCGAGAATTGGCCAGAGATGTTGGCTTAGGGATCTTACATGACACATGACTCAAAGAAGACTCAACCTGACTACGCCTAGGCTGGGAATCTCTGGGCTATCTCCTGCAGGCCTGGGAGGGTAGCTGGCAGCTGCTATGTGGGGAAGAAACACTGGAGCAACACGCGGTATCACGAGGGTTGGTCCAACACTTAGGACTGGGGTTATTTTCTTCACGCTATCTGTCTCACCGATTAGAGGAACCATTGCTAACACTTTGATTGTTCAGATTAAATAAGATTGTTATCCCTTCTTTTCTATTTTGTTTGAAAAGGGTCTCACCATGGTGCAAAGTCTGGACTCCAACTCCTGGGCAGATGTGATCCACTGGCCTCACTCTCCTGGGTAGCATTTGGGATTATGGCCCAGTCACCATGCTTGGCTATATATATATACTTTTAAAAGCAATTAGCACTTGAGTATTGAATATTGTAATCTTGCCTCTAAATAAACTCTTGTTTTTTCAAAGACAGAGTTTCAGGCCACCCAGTCCCACCTCCCAAACTCACCATGTAGCCAATGAAGATACCGAACTCCTGACTTTCCTGCCTCTAACTCCCAGCTTCTGGAAATACAGGCTTGCAGCACCGTGTGTGCCTGCTTTCAATAAACTTCTTGAAGGCAGAAATCACATACACCACATTTTACAAGTCACCGTAAACTTCGTAGACTGTTTATTAGGTTAGTGCTTATCTGCCAAAAGGAAAGAATGCCACATAGTCCTCCCGGCACAGTAACTTAAGCAGTAACTACGAAGGTCTCCATACATCACGAAAGCCAGCGCTCACAATGGTCAACAATAGTGCTTTCACTTACTCATAAACGTGTTTAGTCAGAGTTACAAATGTAGGCCAGTCTCCAAGGCTAACCTCCCTGGAGCAGCCTTAGAGGATTTTGCTATCTGGAGATTTGTTTTGTTTTCCCGAAGTCAAGTAAAATTGGCTTGGGAAAGATCTGGTTTAAAACTGGAAGGTGGCACACAGCACCTAGGAATTGTGAGGCGGACTCTTTAAATACTGGGGTGGAGGGGCGGGGTCGTTGTTAGGGACGCGGGGGAGATGCCTGTTTCCAGGAAGTGACATCAGCGGCCGCGGAGATGGACGATTTACTGGACCTGGGAGAGGAGAGACGACGCAGCTCGGCCACCTCTGTGAGGAGCGATGCTAGGGGCTGGGGTCCGGCTCGGCGGGTGGGACAAGTGGCCAGGCTCCCCGAGAGGCCCGGAGTCGGGACAGACCCCGGCAATGGAGGGTCTGCGCCCGAGCCCCGCCCGCCCCCGCCCTGGGGTTCTCTCGTGGGCAGTCCAGTTCCGGAAGCTCTCCTGAAAGCTGCTGGGAAGAGAAGTGGCTGGGGATTTCTCTTCCTCCCTGTAACCCCCGCTCCCCCAGGACTGGAAGCCAATACTCCAGTTTGGGAGTCACTTGGTAAAACAAAACCAAACTGTTGATGAGCCGGAATACACCTAGCCTCGGCCTCCTTGCTGGTAGAATGGAGCTGTTGCTGTGCATGTTGAAATGGGGTAATGCGTAAAAAGCATTTACCTTGGCTGCTGTTTCCTCCCAGGCCATGGCGATCATGTAGTCAGTAGATAATAGAACTTGATTGAAGACCTGCCTCCAGTATGTTCTGTCATAGCCTCCACCACGACCGGAATAACCGTTAGAGTTAGTTGAGGTCATGATTGGGTGATAAGTCCTTAGTTTCTGCTGTAAAACCTCAGGCGTTTTGAAGGGCCCAGGTAGCATCCAATGCCCCAAGGTGCTAAGGGGCAGGAGCCAGTTAGTTGAGAATGGAGCAGGTTTTTTAAAAAGCTAAGAACATTAAGCCAGCAGGACTTTCTGATACACAAACCTTTTCAGTACCTGGGATGTGAATGTGGTGATTTTTTTTTTTTTTCATCCTTTCCACAAATACATATTGATCTCTGCTGTGTATCAGTCTTTGTTATAGGCAATGGAGAGATAGCAGAGAACAGAATGTCACTGGCTTTTGCCATAGTGGGACGGTGTGTCTGTGTGTGTGGGGGGGAGGACAGACCACCCTTAAAATATGTGATTTCAGCTTGTAAAGTGGTTTTCCATGTTGTCAATTTACAGGGTCTTTAAATAGTCTCAAACTTTAATGGTTGTTAGAGAAATCGATTGTCAACAGCATTTACAGACACAATCATTAATTTTTGCTTTAGGGTAATTACTGTAGGAACAGATACCTAATACTTGGACAAACAAAAGAGGGTACCTTCCCAGAGAAGGAAATGAGCTCTGTTATCAGAAAGATTGTTCCCATCATCCTTAAACCTAAAAGATCGACATCACAACTTAAAGGTTGATAATTGCACTATGATGCCCAGATCCTACTTTAGCATAGATGTGTGTACACACACACACACACACACACACACACACACACAATCCTTTTCCTTAGAACACTTAGCACTGACTTTTCAGTGGGATGTGGTGGGACAAACCTGGGATTTGAAGTCACAGGAAGACTTTGCTACTTAATCACCTCCCTGGGCCTCAGTTTCCTCTTTTATGAAACATAGTCAGTCTCAGTCTTTGTCCATACCATTGTGAGACTCAGGCCTGGTAAATGAGATCTGAGAGCGCTTTGTTCGTTTTTTTTTTTTGTTGTTGTTTTTGTTTTTTTTGTTGTTGTTGTTTGTTTGTTTTTTGTTTTTAAGTAAATGATCATGCACAGACAGTCTTGAGCACCCATTAGAGTGCCTCAGAGTTTTGGTTTTTTGTTCTGGGGAATGTTGGAGACAGGGGCCTTGCCCACTAGGAGGGCTTGGGGAACACCTGCAAATGTTTTGTACGGTGACTCAGAATCTCGAAGGGCTGTGGCTTCCACAGGTGATGTCTCAGCATTCCTGTGGCGGGCCTCCCTCCAGCCTGGAGATGCAGAAACAGCCAGCCAAGCAGAGCTCACTGGATTTCTCTGGTGTCAGTTGCCACGAAATTGAGGAATTCTTTCTGAAAGCCTGTCTGGTAGCTCTCTCAGGTCAAAGGTGGGAGTCTTCTCCACCCGCTCTGAGCTGTGGCTTGAGGTGTCTGCCCAGGCTAGCTATTTTTCTAACTGTGTGTCATGGGCAGAATGATGTCTTCGTTTTTGCTGTACCTGAGGCTGTTGAAACCTCATGATCAAGAACCTGTATATTAGCCGGGAGGTGGTGGCGCACACCTTTAATCTCAGCACTGGGGAAGTAGAGGCAGGCGGATCTCTGTGAGTTCGAGGCCAGCTTGGTCTACAGATCGAGTTCCAGGATAGCCATGGCTACACAGAGAACCCTGTCTCAAAAAACAAAAACAAAAAACAAACAAACAAACAAAAAAAACGAATGAACAAACAAAACAGAAAACAAAAAAACCTGTATATATCCTATTCTACGTAATACAACTGACTTGGGTGTTTTCTCATAAGGGTTTTAGAGAGTTCCCTGTGCATATACCCAGGTTACTCAAACCCTGCTCTCGGCCATGCCATAAACCTGCAGTCCTGGCCTACCATGTGTCATACAGGGCCTCAAATGCTATTGGATCAGCTGGGCTCTCCGTCTCTCCTTTCAGGGGGCTAAGATGGGCCGCCGAGCTCAACCGGAGCCACCACAGGCTGAGCATTACTTCAACAGCAAGAATTCTTCCTTGGCTCAGACCGGAGAGGTGAGTGCTGCAGAGACAGAAAGGAAACAAGACAGTGTGGATAAAAAGCCCTGTAAGAATAAACGAGCCGGTAACCGTCAGGGCTGTGGTGCTCTGTGTTTGTTTGGAATGAAAGCCTTTCCACGTGTCTCAGTTTGGAAGTTCCCTTCAAGGACATTTGTCCTAGTGGGAACATTTTTTTTTTTTTCAGACCCAACTGACTTCTGAACTTTTTTTTTCTTCTTTCTTTCATATTCATAGTGTACTAAAAGACAGGGTCTCATGTAGCCCAGGCTGGTGTGGAACTCACTGTGTGACTGAGGATGACCTTGAATTATTACTGATTCTCCTGCCTCTAACTGCCATGCTGTGTTGTTTGAGGGAATTTAGGATTAAGCCTAGGGCTTCATGCGTGCTAGACAATCACTGTACCACCTGAGCACACCCCCAGCCCTGTAGAGCTTTTTATGCCGTCTGAAGTGAGGGACTGGGACGCCAGCCATCCGGGAAGGTACACAAGGATACTGTAAGGTTGGCTCACACAGCTAGATGTTTGCTGCTGGTAAGGACCACTATTCCCCAGTCTCTGCCCTCTGTAAACGTCTCCAAGAGCCCTCCACCTTTGGGGAATGATGCAGCTTCTTTGTGAGAGGTGGGAGATCTATGAACAGTAATATCGGGGTTCACTCATCCCCTTCGTTTGAATAGTCTGTGTTTCTAGAGTCTCCCCGACCTCTGCATGCCGTCTTCTTAGGTCTGCTGCCTCCTGATTTTGCAGTACCTGCCTCAGGGCAGGCTGGGTTATTTGCTCATTGTAGTTTGCCATGTCTCTCTTCTCTGCTAGAAAGCGAGTCATTAGACGGTGGGACGCCTGGCTTCTTAGTGGCTTGTCGAACTCAGCAGTTGACAGTGGCTGAGCGGACCGGTGCTGAGAAACCTGACAGGCACACAGGTGCACGTTAAACAGACACACCGCACGTAGAGATCACATTAGGGGTCCGTCAGATACAGCGTCACCGCTTTCCTAAGCTCTTTACGTGGTCGTGTCTGCATATCTTTCACTTTCCCACTTAGGTGTAGAGGCGTAACTATGACCATGAGGAATTATTATTGTACCTGTGACCCCGGCACGTAAAATCTGGCAGCTGACCCTTCCTTCATCAGCAGGAAGACCCTCCGGAGGGCATTAGGGCCTGTAGGTCATATGACCACTGTACAAGGTTTACTGGTACCCAGTCAGCGCTGGTTAACGCTGGAAGGATACAGAACAGCTCTGCCTGATCTTCCAAGAAATACTGGCAGTCTGTGCCTGTGCGTGAACGCGCGCGCGCGCGCGTGTGTGTGTGTGTGTGTGTGTGTGTGTGTGTGTGTGTGATGCACAGCTGTTGCCGACTCTGGTTTTCAGCATTTTCCTGAGAGGTTGTTAGGAAAAGTCATTGTGCTCCTGGGCTCACTGGTGCCCCTGGAAGCAAGGTGCCCTGTGGGATTCCGGAATGCCTCCCTCCCCTTCCTGTGTGAATGGGGGTTGAAGCTGCCTGGGCAGCCTCCCTTAGGACCAGAGACTCCCTGTATTGTGTGAGACTTTTTTGGCTTTTTTTTTTTCTTCTAAAATTAGATCCAGGAATTGTGCCCATTTACACCCAGCTTTGTTATGTTTATTTTTATCCAGTCACTGGCTTTATTCAGTGGTGATATCCCTAAAAATATAAGCGTGGTTACCTGGGAACTGTCAAGCCACTGTTACTTCGGAGTTAAGTAGGAATTAGTTTTGAATAAATAGTTATTTTAAAGTGAGGTGGTGGAGTTGGGACGTGGAGGAAGGAAACAGAGAGACACGGGGCTTGCCGCTGGCTCTTCTGATTGCTCGGATCTTAAATCCGCTAATCTCTGGAATCCTCCACTCCATCATTTGTCAGCTGGTGACCATGGGTACCATTAGATGAATGTGAGGATCAAGTGAGCTATGCGTTTAAGCGCTTTGGCAAACTAAAAAACACCATGTAAGCTCCCGTTCACTCAGCACATTAGGGAGGGAGGGAGTCTTTGCTCTCCGCTGTCCCTGTTGAAGGGCTGCAATGAGATGATTAGGGCGGGCTGTGGTGGCACGCGCGCTGTGATCCAGGCCCTTGGTTTTCTCCTTCCGCCATGGATCCCCACCACGGGATTTGAACTTAGTCACCAGGCTTGCACAGCAAGCACTTTATCCACGAAGGGTCCTTGCCCGGGCTGCAGCCACATTGTGTTTGACTTACACACAGTTACACTTTTTAAAACAGTTGGTTAATACTTACAAAATTTGAGAAACCTGGTATAAAAACTCACATTTGGGGTTTCCCCAGAAAGGAGAAGCTTTTCCCAATGAGACCAGTGGGATGGCATTTCTGTGTGGCAGCAGTTGGCCAGGGCACTGGTGCCACCATTTTAAGGGTTACTAGGCATCTCCTGCTTGCTGCTTTTTGTCTACCTGTCTTTCTATTTGTAGTGCCGATTATGGAACCCAGGGTCTTGCACGTGCTAGCAAGTGCTCTACCACTGAGCTGTACCCTAGCTCGCTCTTTGAATAAAATAAAATGATGTCACTAAGTTGTCCAGGATGACCCTTAACTTGCCATCCTCTTGCTCCAGCCTCTGAAGAGCTGGAACTGCAGGCATTTGCTACTGTTTCCAGCTTGTGCCTGCTGCTGCCGCTGCTTTCTCTACCTCCTCTTTTCTCTTACTTTTGGTTTGTGAGACAAGGGTTTCTCTATGTAGCCCTGGCTGTCCTGGATCTCACTCTGTAGATCAGGCTGGCCTTGAACTCACAGAGACCTGCTGGCCTCTGCCTCTGAAGTGTTGGGATCAAAGGCATGCGCCACCACCACCTGGCCATTTTTTACATTTTGTTTCTGGTTTGTTTGTTTGTTTGTTTGTTTCTGAGACAGTTTTGCTTAGTGGCCTGGGTTGGCCTCAAACTTAGGGGTCTTTCTGGCTCAGCCTCTTGAGTGCTGGGGTTGCAGGCATGTGCCTCTGTGCCTGGCCACTTCACCCTTGAACACACCGGCAGGCCTGCTTGGTCTGCGTGGTGCCCATTTCTTCCCGAGTCTCAAATCTCTGCTGTTTGGGCATGATTTCCAGGCAGCCTTCTGCATCTTCAGTGCTGACTTTGGCTACATTCAGCAGACACTTTCCTCTGGCCTGACTGAAACAGGATCAGCTTTCGAGGAGTTCAGTGGAGGACGGACGGATGTGGTCACTGGGCGCTGTCCTGTGTCATCCTCGTTTCCTGCTGTGCCGTGGGAAGCATGTGGCTTTAGTTCTCATGGTTTCAAGATGACTGATGATCATCCAGGGGTTGATTTGCATTCTAGGCAGGAAAGGAGTTCAGGGCATACCCCCTGAATGTTCCCCTTTAGTTAGGAAACAGTAGCCAGTGACCTCAGCAAGTATACGGCTGGCTGCATTCTGTCGGTCAGCACATAGTTTTACAACTGTCCTAGCTTTCAAGAGAGTTTTTGTTTTTGTTTTTTTATTTTTTGGTTTTTTTTTTGGGACAGGATTTCTCTGTGTAGACCTGGCTGTCCTGGAAACTCACTCTGTAGACCAGGCTGTCCTGGAAACTCACTCTGTAGACCAGGCTGTCCTGGAACTCACAGAGATCTGCCTGTCTCTGCCTCCTGAGTGCTGGGACTAAAGGCATGGGCCACCATCGCCTGGCTCAAGAGAGCTTTTAGTCCACTCAGAATCGGGTCTCATTGTTACCCCTCTGAGTTTTAGGGGCTTTTCCAACTGGGACAATGATGTTTCTCAGTGGGAGAGGAGGAATGGCTGTGAAATAGGCTGTTTGGAGCTGACCTGATGGGGCTGGGAGCTGGGAGCTGACTCAGCCAGCAAAGTGCTTGCCAGGAATATCAGTCACTTTACTGCTGCTGTGATAAAACTCCACGTCCAAAGTAACTGATAGAGGAAGGGCTTATTTGGGGCTGATGGTTCCAGAGGGAGGTGAGTTTATCAGCATCATGGTGGGGCGCTGGGCAGTAGGCAGGAAGGGTTGGAGTAGCGGCTGGGAGCTCACAGTAATTTTTTTTTTTTTTGAGATTATAATTACATCATCTCTCTTTTCCTTTCCTTTCTCCAAATCCTCCCATGTATGCCCTGCACCCTCCCCAAGAACTCACATCTTGAGGAGGAAAAACAACAGAAAAGTATTGTCTTGAATCTTTTGGATTGTCAAAGCCTACCCACAGGGCCACATCTCCTAATTCATCCCAAACAGTTCCACCCACTGAGGACCAGGTGTTCAAACACATGAATCTGTGCTGGCCATTCTTACTCAAACCATCACCCTGAGAGCATGGGGAGACCTGTGTTAGGTCCCCTGCACCCACATAAAAGCCAGGCTCAGTGGTGCTCACCTGTAACCCCAACACTGGGAAGTGGAGACAGGGGGATACCTGGGTCTTTCTTGCAACCAGTAAGCCAGTCTGTGGGCTCCAGATTGGGTGAGAGGCCCCGTCTCAAACACTAAGGTGGGAAGCAATTCAGGAACTACACCTGACCTCAACATTTGGTCTCTGTGAACATGGAGAAACACAGGTACAGACACAGACACACAGACACACAAAGAGGGAAGAGTGGGAGATGCTGATAGACACTAACTCGACATTACAAATTAGAATTTACAGCTGGGTCGTGATACTGCCCACCTTTAATCCCAGCACTGGGGAGGCAGAGGCAGGCAAATCTCTTGAGTTTGAGACCAGCCTGGTCTACAGAATGAACTCCAGGACAGCCGGGGCTGCTTAGAAAAACCCTCTCTCTTTCTCTCTCTCTCTCAAAAAAAAATTAGAACTTATACAAAATTTTAAATAGACTGGGGTAAGAAAGGGAAGACTCGATTTTTGGCTAACTCCCTTCCCCACATTCTCCTCCAACTCCTTACAGTTTTCGGGGGGCACCTTGAAGTCACTTTCCTATGTCTCCATGTGCCTAAGAGAATTGCCCAGTACTGCACCTTATTTGTCTTCTCCTTTCCATTTGGTCAC